AAGCCCACGGAGCCGGTCAACCCGACGAATTTTGCCCGGAGGGACTCCATACCAATCCAGGAGTCACCACCGGCTGGATCTACAAACTCCGGCGGGATGAGCTGGAAGTCTTGGCCGAGGAATTCGGATTCGGAAACGACGGAACAGTCGAGGAACGAAGAAAGAGATTCGCCGCACTAGTCGCCGGAACACTCTCGCAGGATGCCTGGGTTCGACTGGCCGACCTCGAACGGCAATACGCCTGACCAACCGGACGCTCCAAGTCGCCCATGCCCACCACTCCTGGGCCGTCTGACCAGCGGAAAACTGACCCAAAAGCCGGGTTACAAGTCCCCACCGCGTCCGAATACAGCACACCCGGCCCACCACGCATCGTAACGCCAGCCGATTTACCCAGACCTGCAGTTACGGCCCACACAGAGGATCGTGCCAGCCATGGACCCTTCCATAGATGGACGCCACCACAGCCACACCGCCCACATCGCGGAACAGATTCGGAAATGGGTAATCAGGTTCGACGGACAGGACGACCGACTTACATTTCTGGAACTACTCGAAGAACGTGAGCTCTCATATGGGGTGGACACAAATCAGCTACCTCGGGTCATGACAGAGCTTCTCACCGATCGGGCCAGTCGCTGGTACCGCACCAGCCAACTACAAGGCAGCTCATGGGCATATTTCCGCCAAGAATTCTTGACTTTCTTCTTGCCGCCACGGTATTTTGAACAATTGGAAGACCAGATCCGAGCCCGCAAGCAAGCGGTAGGAGAATTGTTCAAGGATTACCTCATCGAGATACGTCTACTCATGCACCACGCCAGGTACGACGCAGCCAAGGAACTGAACAGGATCTACGATAACGCCCTGCCAGCATACCAGATGTACGTGCGGCGACACGAACTACAAAGCTTAGCACAGCTCACAATGTTGGCCACCGAGTTCGAGAGCATCCAAGCGCGGACCATCCCGACCACTTTCGCACGCCTAACACTCCAAGATACGCAAGGCCGGCTTCAGAGCAGAGGAATTGCGACTCGCACCAGACGCCATTTCTGAGTCCCCATTGGGAATCGACAGACACACCAGGGAGAACACCAGCTCATCCAAACAGTACGGCGAATCCCGAAGTAGCCCATCACATGATCACGACCCCCATCACCAACCCACTCGCAGCCTGTCGCCGGTGTGGTGAAGCGGGGCATGCGGCATACGACTGCCATAATCCCTCCATCCTATTCTGCTGGGAATGTGGCAAACGTGGCACACGGACCGTAAATTGCTGCCGCCAAAACACGTCGGGAAACGACATGCGTCCCCAACTGACACGGGATCAGCCGGGAACGACGCCTCCTCCAACCCGCGACTAAATAACTCTCTACACGTAAGCAACGGCCGGATAGTGGCGATGGTGACCATAGGAGGACACGCAACGGAAGCCACAATCGACACCGGGGCATCCAGAAGAAAACAACACCAAACTGCAAGATGCATGCGTCCGCATACGCCTGGCCGATGGCTCGGTCAGAGAGATCTCACAAGTTCTACTGGCGCACATCAAGCTGGATCAACGAGAGGTTCAAATCCCGCTCCTGGTCCTGCCAAACATGTTGGGACAAGTCATTGTCGGCATGGACTTCTTAGGTGCCACCGAAACGACGATCCAATGCGGCTCCACGCTGCTACAGCTACGAGACCATCGCCCCATGCCCACTGAACCCGTGCTTACTACCATCCATGTACAAGACGCCGAACCCCGATGCCAGAAACCCCAACAAATCGCAAAGAACCTACGTCCACGACCTATCACAACGCACACGGCACCCAATAACGCAACGCAGCACTTGACACCCAAACCAATCGCAACGATTACGAAGCAACAGCACACTACGGAAAACACGAATCCAAGGTCAACACCAGCAAACCGCAATCAAGGAATCGGGAAAACGAGTCCCTCGGTCACTACGGAGCAACCGCGTCCTAGGCCAACAACAGGGAACACGCATCCCAAACAAACCACGAGGATCTCACACACGAGACAAACACACTTGAACCCGGCGCTCGACACAGGAAGCCCAGGTCCAAGACAAGCAACAGAGCAAGCATGCACAGAATTCGCAACGGAAGAATTGAACACACGGACACCCTCAAAGCCGACCACCAGCATCGAACAAGGACAACGGCAGCCACCATCCGAAAGCCCAGCAACACGGGAAACAGCCACGCTAACCCCACGCTGGTCGGGGCCCATAATTGAACTGATATCCACAGAGCCCCTCAACGAGGGCCCGGAAACCGGCACGACGCCCCCACGATGCACCGACCGCCGCCCTGTCCACCCCACGGCCGACGCCACACCGATCCTCGCCAACACAATGGAGTACCTTCCGCGTACTGACATGATTCCTAGCGCCATGCAACGAGCCATGGCCGAGATCTTCGTCGCCCACACAAGTCGTCGCTGCGACACAAGAGGCATCACCGAGACTCACCTGTTCATGCGCCAAACGACCGCCAATACCACCCACGTATTGCATCAGAGATATGAAACATATCTACCCACGGCAAACGCCACCCCGACCGTCGCCCACATAAGCGACTACCAACGGAGGATCGAACCGCCCAGCGCCTTCGATACAACCCTCTTACCCGAAGACCCCAGCCAGCCATTTGACTCCGAAGCAGCCGATCCAACCGAAAATGAGCCCGAACCAGTCCCGGAGCCGTGGGCACCGGACTTGGCCCCGCAGACCCAAGCATCCGTCGCCCAAACAAGCCATTGGTCCAACAAAAGAGACATCGTCGAGACCAGCCAGTTCATGCAGCAGTCTGGAGACAATATCACCCAAGTGTTCCACCAGAGCTACAAAACTACTGTACCCACGTCCAACGCCTCCCCGATCATCGCCCACATAAGCGATTACCACCGGAGCATCGAACCGTCAAGCACATTTGACAAACCCATCCTTCCGAAAAACCCGAATCAAACGTTTGACCCCGGAGCCACCGAACCCACCGAAGACGATCCAGAACTGCCCACGGATCCTTGGCCACCCGACATAGCACCGCCGATTCAAGAATGCCTGGACCAAGAACTACCAAAGAAAACTGCCGAGAAAACGATAGTGATATGGGATAATCGACCCACCAAGCAGACACCAACTACAAAGCACCCAGAACAGCAGAAAGGCCACGATCACAGCAGCAGTAGAAAATATAACGTTACCGACGCCACGCTAAAGTGACGAGATTAACAGCGACGAATCTGGAGACTCGGCACCAGCCAAAGGACAGGAAAAAGGCGAACCTCAGCACCCGCCAAGCGACGCCACTAATCTCTCCATCACCCACCCGGTAGAAAGGGGGGGTGTAACGAACCATGGTTCTAGCCATGGCCCGTCACAAACAGCGAAGGGTCAGCGCATCCACGCTGGCGGGAGACAATAATCTAACTGATATACATGGCTCTAGCCACGGTTCTCCACAAATAGCGGTGTGTCAGCACCCCAGAAATAAAATAGTCTTAAGCAACGCACGCAGTTACTAAAATTAAGAACTCTCGATCAGCGAAAACACAGCACGAAATTCTCGGTCACCCACTTCTTGGCGATATTTCGCCACTCGGCCACTCGCCACTCGGCCTCGAATCACAGATATCACCTTCGCGATGCGGAGGTAGCAAAAACCCAATTCCCAACTGCAGCCCGCACCTTCCGGGATGCAGCCTCAGCAAAAACACACTGCCCCACTAACCATTGTCAACGAAGCACCAAGCTTCGACCTAGTTACCGCGCTCCACAATTATTGTTATCCAATAACCTTAAGTAAGCAAGAATTAATTATTTCCGGGTCTCAGGTGCGATCGCCAGCTGCATAAAAGGGCCAAGATCGGCTGAAAGAGCAGGCAGTCCATCAGCCCAAACACAAGACACTGCACAAGGCAGTCCCTCAGTCACACACCCAAGACACTGTACTACGCAGTCCATCAGCGCACCATTCGATACGAGTTGAAGTAGCAGGATTTAAGTGAATGAAGAAAGTGAATGAAAAGAATAAAGAATACCGAATAAAAAATAACTAAGAAACCAACAAACCAAACCGTCGCCTCATCATTTCTCGCTGCCTACTACATTCTTTTGCCAGCCAGCCCGACACCTGAAGTCACCTACAAACTACAAATTTTCTTGTAGCGGACCCTGGACAGACTGAAGCTTACCTCAGCCTGAAATAGGACCTCACAGCCGTATAATTTAATCATTATTTGCTCAGAATCCCTACCTTATTCGATGCTACCTTTTTTGTTCAGCATCATAGATAATTGTTTATATCTAGTATTCTAATGTACCCAAAGAAAAGTAAAGTAAAGAGTAAGGTACTTTGAAAAATCTCGAATAATTTTTACTTTGTCTGGGATTCAATCTTAGTCGTTCATATTTCCAGCATGCGCAGTAACGGACATTTTTCCAGCCGTCTGAAAGAAGCTGGGCTTTCTCAGCGGCCTTTACAAAAAATTTATAATATTGCACCAGCGACAATTGAGGACACGGTCTTTTTAATATCTTTTTACATAGCATTAGTCAGCTCGAATACTCTCCGAGTGCATCTCGCAAGAATAAGCCGATTGGCCTAGGGCTACTCCAGGCGTGCCACCGTCGACTCTAAGGGCTGGTTGCCTTTAACTAACACGAAGCACAAGTCCGCCATGCACAGCACCGCACTCGGTGCTATTCTGATAAATCGCGATAAGGATTGTTCAAGTAGTGTAGTTACTAAGGTAGTTACCATGTCCTTTCTCCTCTTTTTCTGCCATTCGTCCTACTTTTTTTGTCTCAGTAGCCCGGCTTAACCCTTTGTTCTGCTTCCGTTAGTGCCGGGGCTTTTAGGCTCTAAGATCTTTCGCGCTCCCAATAAGGTTAACTGCTTAACAATACCCAAATTTCATTGTATCATGTTACCGTATAGATTTTGAATGTAACAGCAAAATCATCAAAAAGTCATTCATTCCAATTAGCAGTTGCAGTTATTATTCACTTAGGAACTTGTATCCATATAGAAGTGTGAAATAATAAGAGATGCCCTCTTCTATGTACATAGTATCTTTTTTCTTAAATCTCTAATCATTCGGCTATATGATCAACAATTGGCTTAAAAAAAAAATAACCTACCCTAATTATTTCATTATGAAATAATGAATCAATAGTTCATACTTAATTTGTCTACTATAGTTATCAGTAAGTTTTTAAATTTAATCGCAAACAAGAGAGAGAAATCAGAAAATTTTGTTTCATGTATGTACAATTTTACAGTCGCACAAACGATGAAGACAATTTATGCATTATTTATTGTCCTCGGTTGCCTAATTAGCGTAAGTTTTTTCCATATCCAATCCGCTTCGTTATCCCCATTGTCACTGCACGTTTCATTTCCAGGTGTTGCTTTTTATTGTGCATGCTATACCCCTGCCCCTCGCCGACAATGACCGGGCTGCCAGCAATCAGATTTTCATGCCCGCGAACAGCACCGTTCAATGGAAGTCCAGGATGGTCATGGAGGACCTGGCTGCAGCTGCGGATAACTCTGGATACCGAAGACGCGAATTGGAACGTCAAATCATGGCGAATGGGACATGGCCTGGCCAGGACAAAATGGGCCTGTTTCCGGGTGTTTATCAGAGCAAACTTCGCACAGCGGGAAAACCAACAGCAGCGAAAGGGAAAGCGTTGGTGTCGGTTCCTCAAACGCTTATAAAAGCTGGTCTCAATTTCTGGGCCAAGCCCAAAGCGAAGCCAAAAGGTGATGTTGGAAATGTTTCAGCTGATGGAGATGACACTGGAGATGCACCAGCACCAGGAGAACCCGCACCAAAATTATCACCTAGAGCAGTCAGTGGTAAAACACGTATAAAAAGTTTAGAGAAAACAATATCCATACCGCGATTGCAGAGCGATCATATCGGCAGTTGGGTAATCAATCCGTGGGGTATCACTTTCGGAGTACTGTGGCAAGATACGCGAATGAACTACCAAGTAAAGAATCTGTTCGGGCCAGCGGCTACTTAAGCGTCTATCATAATATTAAATGTAGCTGTAACTAGTTGTATAAGAGTATCGAAACCTAAGCTTATGTATGGCCCCAGCGTTCGGCAGTGCTGCTGCGCTCTCCCTGTTAAAGGGCGCTCTGCACCTGCTGCGTCGGCTCTTGCATTGATCGGCCGTCGTGGCCCAAGTAGTTCTATGCTAATCTCTCGCCGCATAGGTTGCATACTGAACCCCCGCTTGTGAACATTTATCTGGCTGGGCAAAAGAGCGAGCAATTGGCTTCAGCTAGCCGCCGGTATAAATAAACATTATAACGTTTAAATCAAAGTATTTAACTGATTTGGATAAATATAGGTGCCAAAAAAGCTTGGCATCTCAAACATTGGTGACCCCGACGTGATTTAACTACAATTTTTAGTCGCGTTTCGTTTAAAAACTATAAAAATCGAATAAGATATTCGTTGCTGTGCAGTTTAACGACCAACGAATACATTTTGTGAAAATAAGAACAGTTAAAGTGAGACTGCAGCCGTCTAATATTCCGTTGCTTAATCGCCGATTCTCTCTTGCTCTGCGTCGCTGCAGCCGCGGCCCTTGACTTTCCGTGTCTTCTATTCTCGTTCCCGTTCTTTCGCCGTCGCTTAAGCGGTCTTACATTTTCCGTTGTTTCGTTGTATTACACCGGTTGGCATGGACAAAGAGCCGAATACAGGTGCGGGCGGAAATATTGCGATGGAGGAAAAGGCTGAGGCTTTACAAGCGTAAAGTTCAGTCTCTGCATGATCGGCTGCAGCGTCTTGGCCAGTCATTCTCGGGGAATAAAATCGACAATCTAAGTGCGGCTGATATAGATGTGCGCCTCGATATGTTGGCTGAAATGCGTGAGGAGTTCAACAAGTCCCATAATGAGTTGGAATCACTGGATGAAGACGAGATTGGAAGTGAGCTGCGTGTGACGCCCAGCTCGACCCAGCGCCAAGCGTCACAAAAACAACAACATTCCGCGGAGTATTATGACATTATTATTTCATTATTCATTATTTATTATTATTCATTATAACCGTTACTTAGACTTAAGAGAAACAACATGAAGATTAATTTAATTAAAAAAGAAAACAAGCAAAAACAACAAACAACCTGACTTTTAAATGTTACCAGCGATCAGAACCACACGGCCACACTACAAAATTTAAATCTTCGCGCCGACAATGTGACCAGCGAGCAGAACCACACGGCCACACTAAAAAATTTAAATCTTCGCGCCGACAATGTGACCAGCGATCAGAACCACACGGCCACACTACAAAATTCAAATCTACGCGCCGACAATGTGACCAGCCCTCCGAACCAAACGGCCACACTAGCAGCTGATCATAACAACGCGTTAGTACCAGAGACCGGAGCCAACAGCTGACTTTTGGCAATAAAAGCAGCCGCAACAGAGCCATCAGCACCATTCCATTCTTGGACTGCCAAGGGTTGATTCGCTCCCCAAGGCTTTTGGTAAGCATTGATTGCTGTGGTTCTTAGAGCGTACGATTCCTCTATAACCCCACTATCCCTGCTATATACCGTCCATTTCTTTGGAATGCATTGATCACCGTGTTAGAGCGTACGATTCCTCTACCCGGTAATCTTTGCTGGTCTTCTTCAGATACATTCTCGGAGTGTATTGTCCTCCGGCTTTCCCCTTCCTACTCAGAGCGCATTTTCCTCTGTCTCCCCAACCCTCGCCTCGGAGCGCATTATGCTCCGCAACGAACACTTCTCCTCGGAGCGCATTATCCTCCGCAACGAACACTTCTCCTCGGAGCGCATTATCCTCCGCAACGAACACTTCTCCTCGGAGCGCATTGTCCTCCGCAACGACCACTTCTCCTCGGAGCGCATTGTCCTCCGCAACGACCACTTCCCCTCGGAGCGCATTATCCTCCGCAACGACCACTTCTCTCGGAGCGCATTATCCTCCGCAACGCCCACTTCTCTCGGAGCGCATTTTCCTCCGCAACACACTTCTCTCTCGGAGCGCATTTTCCTCCGCAACGCATCTCTCTCTCGGAGCGCATTATCCTCCGCAACACACTTCTCTCTCGGAGCGCATTGTCCTCCGCAACGCATCTCTCTCCCGGAGCGCATTATCCCCCGCCACGCATCTCTCTCTCTCGGAGCACTTTATCCTCCGTAACCCACTGATCGCCCGGAGCGCATTATACTCCGCGACCGATCCCCACCAGGTACGACCTGCACGCTGCGAGTAGCCACGTGCGGCCCTGACGACCCTGAAGGAGGACATCAAGGACGATCCAGTGAACCATTCGAGCCATATAAAAACTCTGTACGATTAAGCTAAATAAACATAGAAACTACTTTTGCCACCCTACCCGTGTCGCCTTCTTCTTGAACCTAGAGCCTTTCTTTCAGCTACCACATCCAGAGATCAAACAAATTTCTGTGAACCCCGGCGCGGCGAGCATACCCCGGCCAAAGCGCCGTCACATGCGTGAAACCTTCGATACGCTCTTCATTTCTTTGAAAGCCGAGCTGATGGCGGCTATCTAGGACATTTGCGCGTAGCTGCTCATTCCACTAGCACGCCAAATAGCTCTGGAGGTCATACCATCATCATGGCTCACAAGCAGCGGCTTCCTGAGCTGAAGCTACCTAGCTTCTCCGGTGGCTATGTGGAATATGCGGATTTTATTGCCATGTTCAATTCGGTCATCGAAGGGGATGCAGATCTCAGTGAAATCGAGAAGTTCCAACATCTTCGCTCATGTCTCTCGGATGCGGCCATGGATTCGGTTCGATCGTTAGAGCTCTCCAGTGCCAATTATCGTGTGGCTCTGGACATACTTAGCAGACGTTTTAATAATAAACGACTTGTTTTCCAGGCACACATCAAGGAGATTCTTGGGCTCAAGAAGGTAGATTCGCCTTCTGCTAAAAGGCTTCGGGAGTTTTCGGACGCAGTCAACTTGCATACGCGCGCCCTGCAGACATCAGGAAGTGCTGAGGAGATATCTGGATGCATGATAATCCACATGCTGCTGCAAAAGCTAGATGAGAAGACCCAAACCAAATGGGAAGAGACTGCGTCATCGGACAGGATACCCACAGCTGGGGAATTCTACGATTTTCTGGAGAAGCGATGCCAGAAGATGGAGAACGTGCAATACGCTATAGCGACACACGCTGGTAGCGCTCAGGTGGGAAAAAGCCAGTCTACACACCTTAAGAAAACCTTTGTTGCCTCTTACTCTTCCGCCGACCCGTCTGGATGCCCTTTCTGCCATTCAGCGGGCCACGGAATATACTCGTGCAGCATCTTCACAAATTTATCTCCTTTTCTGCGTCACAAAGAAGTGAAGAAGCTGTCACTGTGCTTTAACTGCTTAAAATCGGGTCATCTGACTCGTGCATGCACAGGTGGCCAGTGTAGAGTTTGCGGAAGGAGGCATCATACCTTGTTGCACTTCGACTCATCTATAGCGCAAAGCTCCCCAGCTGGTTCTCCTCCAGAACGAACCGTACAACCAGGAGCTATTACGCCGGTTCAGGATTCTGCCAGCAGTGTGCCGTCTCATGCGTCTACCTCTCTTGCTGCCCAAGGTCTCCACTCCGATATTTTGCTGCTGGCCACAGCTGTTGTTTTGGTGAAGAATCGATCTGGCGTTTTGGTTCCTTGTCGCGCTATTCTAGATTCAGGATCTCAGCTTCATCTCGTTACCTCCAGGTTCGCCCAGCAGCTTCAGCTTAGGAGAACTCAATCGTCTGCCCTTGTTTCTGGTCTGGGCGATACTAGCGTGTCCACTGAGGGATCCACCGTCAGCATTTGCATGCAGTCTCGCACTTCGGACTATTCGACCACACTCACTGCTCTCATCGCACCCACAATTACAGATAGCCAACCAAGTCTGGCAGTTAATGTAGCCGATTGGAACATTCCCTCCAACATTCAGCTTACTGATCCTGCATTCTTTAATCCTCAGCGAGTAGATCTCCTCATTGGCGCGAGCATATTCTATGACCTTCTCTGCGTAGGGCAAATCAAGCTCATAGATGGATTGCCTCTTCTGCAGAAGACCCGGCTTGGGTGGATCGTATCTAGTGGTGGACAGAGAGTATCAAGCTCGTCGCTTTTGGCAACCCAAAATTCTCCGGATTCGGAGGATAGAATGAATGCAAGAATGGATCGAACTCTTCGTATGTTTTGGGAAGTTGAGAATTGTGCGGAGGCTAGCTTCAGTACAAAGGAAGAAGTGGATTGTGAGGCGCATTTCGTAAGCCACTTTTCACGGTTGCCATCAGGGGAGTACTCTGTTCGACTGCCTTTAAAGCATGATGCTGATCACTTGGGAGAGTCCTATACTCAGGCGTATCGACGATTTCTCAGCTTGGAGCGAAAACTGGATTGTAATCCCGCGCTCAAGGAGCGTTACTCAGCTTTTATGAAGGAGTATACTGATTTAAAGCATATGTCCAAAGTCCATCCTGACTCACGTAGCCTCTGCAAGTATTTTCTGCCTCATCACTGCGTTTTAAAGGAGGATAGTACCACGACAAAGCTACGTGTCGTTTTCGATGGCTCTGCAGCTACATCAACTGGATGCTGCTTAAATGATGTGATGATGACAGGTCCTGTTATTCAGCCAGCATTGTTTAACATACTGATCCGGTTCCGCACATATCCCGTCGCTCTCACTGGTGACATTTGTAAAATGTACCGCTGCGTAAAGGTATCTCCGCCCGAAAATTTTCTCCAGTGTATCCTATGGCGAGATTCCATCCAGTCCGAGGTTCAAGTCTACACATTAGACACTGTCACATACGGTACGAGGGCTGCATCGTTTTTAGCGGTCCGCGCAATGCACCAGCTGGCCATCGACGAGGGTAATCCCTACCCTCTTGGCTCAGCTGCTCTGCAACAGGAGTTCTATGTTGATGACCAGGAGGTGCTTGATGGAATTCCGGTGGACGACGTGGAGAAATTTCTACGGTTTCATGATGGAAGCGACATTACAAAAACTCTTGGTTTAGCTTGGGACCCTGCGTCGGATCAGCTGCT